ATTAAATATGTACCTTTTATTCAGAGAGGAACTCTTCAAGTTCTCACTTCTAGTCTATTCATGATTATTTCATGTTTTTAAACCTTTGTTTTTCTCAACACTTATTTGACTACAGAATTTGAGAAACAAGTGAACAAACAATTTGAAAAATTGAGAGCGGCAACTATCATTCATTAATTTACTCATTTATCAGGTACTCACTGACTTAAGGAGTCCTGGTGTGGCACTATAAGATAAGCACTGGACTGCTCCCCTCAAGGTCAGCACTTCAAATCCATCAGCTGCTCCTTGGAAACCCTATACAGGCTCACTATGAGTTGAAACTGACTTGACTACACTTCACAACAACATTGACTTAATGGCTATTAGGAGCACTTGAAACTGTGTGATATATCAGAGATACTTCCAGAAATAAGAGGTGACAAAACAAACAAACAAAAATCTTGTGAAACATCTGTAAAGGTAGAAGTTTTGTAATAAAAATGGAGGAGTAGTTAATCTTACAGTTAAGAAACAGAGGACCCTAGTACCATCAAGGGAGAAGAGCACAAGCAGAATGTGGGACCCTATCCAGAGAAGCAGCGACATCAGAGATGGAGGCAGAGATGAGGACATGGAGAGAGGGAACAGCTGTGGACTCTAACCTCATGGAAAGAGAGGGACTGAGTGCTGGCGACCAGGAGGCAGCCTTGCAGAATGTGCCCTTTGGTTGTTTAAAGGATTATATATTCCTGAGTGTTTTTGTGTACATCCCCCACTCCCCCACCACCACCCCCCCAAAAAATCCCCAAAAAACAGAGGGAATGGAAGCAAATACTGTTGAATGGTGATGCATGGATGAGATTGTAATCATAACACTGAAACGATGGTGTAAAACAAATGTTCTCCCATGTAAACTATCACTCAATTCACAATTAAAAAAAAAAAAAAATCTTGTGGGGGGAAAAAAACCAAAGTATAGTAAATAGATACAACAATACAAAATTTTTGTGGTGCTTTTAGTCTATTTCCTTTTGTCTTTCAAGTTTGGCTCTAAACGTGTGATGTCTCTTATTTGAAGCTTGTTTTCATTACCTTGTGCTACTATAACAGAAACTCTTCAAGTGGGTTACTTTAAGAAACAAATTTATTTTCTCCCAGTATAGGAGGTGAAACTTACATATTTAAGGTATCAGCTCTAGGGGAAGTCTTTCTCTCTGTGTCCATTCTGGTGGATGGTCTTTGTCTCATCTTAACTTCTGTTCCTTGGTGATTGTCTTGTGGTTTGACAACTCTCTTCTCCCATCTCTGCTTGTAGAGACATTATGTATTAAGAGACATATAATGAGGCACTGTCTCATTAACATAACAGACACTTATTCTGAATGTGGTAATTACCACAGGCATAGGAATTAAGTTTTATAATACATATTTGGGTGGGTCACAAATCCATGACATTCTACACCCCCACCAAATTTATGTCCTTTCCACATGCAAAAAAAATTCATCCCACAAATCTAAAATCAGCTCCAAGTTCAAGAATTCATCTTCTGAATTATCTAAACCTAATACCGGCGAGACTTTGAGCAGTTCCACCCTAGGTCAGAATTCCTCTTTATCTGTGAATCTGTAAAATTTAGAGTACAAGTTATCTGTTTCTAAAATACAATGGTAGAACAAGCACAAGTTAGACATTTCTGTTTTTGTACCGATGACTCTCTTTCAAAACCAGATGATAATCCATTTTCCTCTATGACATTGGGTATATGGCACACTTTAACCCTGTATTGCTAACAGCCTTATCAGGCCTGACAAGATTATAGCCTAGAGAGTTAACATATTTTTATTCACGTAACATTGTGGACTTGAGCCACGCTATTATAGTTTGAGTACTATAATAAATGATAAATGCAGCTGATTTTACAATAGCTTGAGGGACCGTAGGTAATAAAAGAAAATCCTCACATGGTGTTAGTGTCTTGCTTGTCTTTTATAATTTGTGCTCGCCTTTCACCATTGTAGTTAGTTATGAGAGCTGGGAATGATGTGGTAGGATGTATGTGTTCTGTTGCCAGTTGAATTAAAAATAAAGGCAATTTAAAATGTAATGCCAATTCGTCTTTTTAGTAGGATACATATGCAATGTCTTTTGGTAATAACCAGTAGTTAGTCACTCCTTTCACCTACTTACTCCCTTTAAAAAGTGAAATGATGTGAACTTGATATTGAATGTGAAGCAATTAGGTGATATACATATTCATTACTGCTAAATTCTGTTTTTAATGAAAACTGGTGTGGCGCTGTGGGTTAATGCACCAGACTGCAAAGCCATTTGAACTTCAAGGATCAGCGGTTCAAGCTCACCAGCTGCTCCTTGGAAACACTATACAGGGTCACTATGGGTCAGAACCGACTTGACAGCACTTAACAAGACCAACAATTGTTGTTGTTGTTAAGTGCCGACGAGTCGGTTCCGACCCATAGCGACCCTGTACAGGGTTTCCCAGTCCTATCATTATGCTTGGGATGTGCAAACATGCCACAATGGCACATCACAAAATGCCTTATGATTCATAGATGATCACTCAGTTAAGTGGCTGTATAGAAGAAGTAAGCAAAGTCTCATTCAAGAGAAAGTGGTGCCAGGCAAACTCTAAGATATTTCCCCAAAGATCTTTGCCCTTGAAGTTGGTTCCCTCCCCTTTGAAGTAGGTCAGACTACTGAAAAAGACAGTAGCTGTTACTGTCTCTGAACAAATAGACTATGACAAACATGACAGGATGTCACTTCTGTCATTAGTCTAGATAAGACAGTGACTTCATCTTGTTGGCATACTCTTTTCCTTAGTGGCTTTGATGAAGCAAGTTATGTAAAAAAAAAAAAAAAAAAAGCTGGGAAGAAATAACTATCTGAGGACATGAGGGCAGCCTCCCCAGCAAGCAGCCAACTAGGAACCCTTAGACCAGTAGCCCTGGAGGAACTAAAATTCTGAAGATCCTTTCCCAGTCAAGACTTTAGATGAGACCCTAGCCATAGTAGATACCCTAATTGCAAACTTGTGAGAGACCCCAAAGCAAAGGGTACACTATGGCTGTACCCAGGCTTCTGAGCCACAGAAACTGTGAAATAATACATATATGGTTTCTTAAGCTGTTAACTTTGTGGTACTTTTATATAGCCAATTGTTGTTGCTAAGTGCCATCAAGTCATTTCTGACTCATTACGATCCTGTGTAGGGTTTCCGACGAGCAGCGGGTGACTTTGAACCACCAACCTTATAGTTCAAACCAACCTTGTAGTCTAATTCTTAGACTCCTTATATAGCAACAGAAAACTATTAAATAAGATGTATTTGGGCCCATTCCAAACAGAGGTGACCTAATGGAATGTGGAAATCATTGCACAATCTCTTTGATATTCCATGCCGGTAAAGTTTTGCTAAAGGCAATACAGAAACAGCTACAATCATACATTGACAGAAAACTTCTAGAGGCTCAAGCTGGATTCAGAAGAGGCCCTTGAATGAGGGATATCGTTACTAATTTCTGAAGGATCTTGGCTGAAAACAGAATAACAGAAAGTTGTTTACCTGTGCTTTATTGACTATGCAAAGGCTTTCAATTGTATGGAACATGACAAGCTATGGACAACATTGCTAAGTATGAGTATTCCGGAACACTTAATTGTGCTCATGAGGAATCTGTACCTTGACCAAGAGGCAGTTGTTCAGGCAGAACATGGGAAAATGGAATGGTTTAAAATTAAGAAAGGTGTGCGACAAGGTTTTATTCTTTCACCATACTTATTCAACGTGTATGCTGAGCAAATAATCCGAGAAGCTGGGTTCTATGAAGAAAAACATGGAATCAGGATTGGAGGAAGACTCATTGACAACCTGCAATATGCAGATGATACAACTTTGCTTGCTGAAAGTGAAGAGGACTTAAAACGTTTACTGATGAAGATCAAAGAGCACAACCTTTGGTATGGATTGCATCTCAATGTAAAGAAAACAAAAATTTTCACCAATGTACCAATAAACAGCATTCTTATCAGTGGAGAAAAGATTGAAGTTGTCAAGGACTTCATTCTTCTTGGATCAACCATCAACACTCATGGAAGCAGCAGTCAAGAAATCAAACGATGTATTGCATTAGGCAAATCTGCTGCACAAGATCTTTTTAAAGTTTTGAAGAGAAAAGATGTCAGTTTGAGGACTAAGGTGCACCTGACCCAAGCCATGGTATTTACACTAACCTCATATGCATGCGAAAGTTGGACAGTGAATAAGGAATACCATAGAAGAATTGATGCTTTTGAGTTGTGGTGTTGGAGGAGAATATTGAAAGTTTTATGGGCTGCCAAAAGAAACAATGTTTTTGAAGAAGAGCAGTCAGGATGCTCCTTGGAGGCCAAGATGACCAAACTTTGTCACTCATACTTCAGACATATTTTCAGGAGTGACCAGTCACTGGAGAAGGATATCATGTTTGGTAAGGTGGAAGGTCATATAAAAAGAGGAAGCCCCCCAAGATGGATTGGCCAAGTGGCAGCATCGATAGACTCAATCGTGGCAACAGTAGTGAGGTTGGCCCAGAATCAGGCAGTGTTTCATTCTGCTGTGCATAAGTTCACTATGGGTCAGTACCAACTCGATGGTACCTAACAACAACAACAACATATTGGGTTATTTAAGTTGTGGTAACACTACATAGTTGTACTGAGGTAAAGATAAGGAAGAACACTGTTGTTATATGCTCTTGCTACTGTTTACCATCAAACTAAATCTAAATTCAGCTATATCTTATTCTTCCCTCTGTTAAGCATCAACCTAATGAAAAATAAAGAAAATGATGAAATATGTTCTTTCAAATTCAAATGGTAACTTACTGAAAACAAAATGAAAGGAAGGATAAGTAAATATAAAGCTTTATGAATGTTATTTTGTTACACTATTTATTATGCTTTGTTCTTTTTCACTAAATGTTGTTTAATTCTCTTCTTTGCTTTCTTTTAACAGATCACCAGAAACTTGAAAGGGAAGCTAGAATCTGCCGTCTTCTGAAGCACCCCAATATTGGTGAGGAAACATTTTCAGTGTACTTTTAAATGTTAATTTAACAATCAAGAATATTGATAACTATTAAATGTTGTTGTTGTTAAGTACCTTAAGGTCAGTTCCAACTCATAGTGACCTTGTATAGGATTTACAAGGAGCAGTTCATGAGCTTGAACCACAGACCCTGTGGTACAAACCAACTTTGTAGTCCAGCCCATTAACTCACCATGCCACACTAGGAATCTAATAATATATAGATTCCGAATACTTAGCTTTTAGTTGCATTTAAATTTTTTTGTTTGTTTGATTTATTCTTTGGGGTATGCATTCTCTGAAGCAAGTATGGAAAACAAAAATAACTATCTGTGAATTAAACTTACTTCATCCCTAAGGTACTTACATTTAAAAAGAATCAGGATGATTGTGTTTACTGAATCTGTCGCTCTTGTTAGATGCTATCAAGTCTGTACCGACTCACAGAGACCCTGTGCACAACAGATTGAAACACTGCCCTGTCCTGGGCTAACCTCACAATTGTTGCCATGCTTGATCCCATTGATGCTGCTACTTTGTCAATCCATCTCACTGGGGGTCTTCCTCTTTTTCTCTGGCTCTCCACCTTACCAAACATGATATCCTTCTCCAGTGACTGGTCCCTCCTGACAATATGTCAGAAGTATGAGAGACAAAGTCTGGCCATACTGGCCTCCAAGGAGCACTCTGGCTGCACTTCTTCCAACACACATCTGTTGGTTCTTATAGCAGCCCATGGCACTTTCAATAGTCTCCTCCAACACCATAACTCAAAAGTATTAATTCTTCTATGGTCGTCCTTATTCACTGTCCATCTTTTGCATGCATATGAGGTTATTGAAAATATCATGGCTTGGGTCAAGTGCACCTTAGTCCTCAAACTGACATCTTTGTTCTTCAACGCTTTAAAAAAAGGTCTTGTGTAACAGATTTGCCTAATTCAATGTGTTGTTTGATTTCTTCACTGCTGCTTCCATGAGTATTGATAGTTGATCCAAGAAGAATGAAGTCCTTGAATCTTTTCTCCATTGATAAGAATGTTGTTTATTGGTCCAGTGGTGAGGATTTTTGTTTTCTTTACATTGAGATGCAATCTATACCAAAGGCTGTGCTCTTTGATATTCATCAGTAAATGTTTTAAGTCCTCTTCACTTTCAGCAAGCAAAGTTGTATCATCTTCATATTGCAGGTTGTTACTGAGTCTTCCTCCAATCCTGATGCCATGTTTTTCTTCATATAACCCAGCTTCTCGAATTATTTGCTCAGTATATCATTTGAATAAGTATGGTGAAAGAGTACAGCCCTGTCTCACACCTTTCTTAATTTGAAACCATTCCATTTTCCCATGTTCTGCCTGAACAACTGCCTCTTGGTCAAGGTACAGATTCCTCATGAGCACAATTAAGTGTTCAGGAATACTAATACTTTGCAATGTTGTCCATAGCTTGTTATGATCCACACAATCGAAAGCCTTTGTGTAGTCAATAAAGCACAGGTCAATATCTTTCTGTTATTCTCTGCTTTCAGCCAAGATCCATCAGACATCAGCAGTGATATTCTTCATTCTACGTTCTCTTCTGAATCCAGCTTGAACCTCTGGAAGTTCTCTGTCATTGTATGCTTGTAGCCATTTCTGTATTACCTTTAGTAAAACTTTACTCACATGGGATATCAAAGATACTTTCCGAATTATTTCCGCATTCCATTAGGTCACCTGTCTTTGGAATGGGCACAAATATGCATCTCTTTCAATCTGCTGGCCAGATAGTTGTCTTCCAGATTTCTTGGCAGAGATGAGTGAGTGCCTCCAGTGCTGCCTCACTTTCTTGAAAGATTTCCATTTTAATTCCATCAATTCCTGGTGCTTTGTTCTTTGCCAATTCCTTCAATGCACCTTGGACTTCTTCCTTTAGTATCATTGGCTCTTGATCATATGCTACCTCTTGAGACAGTTGAACATCAACCATTTGCTTTGATATAGTGATTCTCTGTATAGATATGGACATAAATGCTGTTTTGTTACGTGCCATCAATTTGGCTTTGACCCATTACAACTCTATGTAGGGTTTCTGAGAAGCAGCCGGTGAGACTGAACTGCCGCTTTTTAATTCAAACAGCGTTTCAATCTGGCACATTAACCCACAGAGTCACACCAGGACTCCAGATATATATATATATATATAGTTATTTATGTGCTGTGGAGTCAGTTCTGACTCATAGCGACCCTGTATAGGGTTTCTGAGATTGTAAATCATTACTGGACCAGAAAGCTTCATCTTTCTCCTGTAGAATTTCTGGTAGTTTTGAACTGCTGACCTTGAGGTTCGCAGCCCAATCCATAAACACTACACTACCAGAGCAAGGTTGGTGGTTCAAGTTCACCAGCTGCACCTCAGAAAACCCTACACAGAGTCACTATGAGTAAAAAACCAACTTGATGACACTTAACAACAAAAACAACAATATACATACTATCTTATTATCTCTTTCCTACCTGCTTTGCTAGTCATTATCCCTAAAATATTCTGAGGTACAACAGAAAATTACAGACATATTACTAATAAAAAACTCAATAGACTTAGCAATTCTGTCACTTGTCTTTTCACTGGATCACTGAAGTACATATCAGCTGGTCACTGTGGTATGTACTTCAGCATTATATAGCAGAGAAATTATAATTATAAAGCAGAGAAAGTATTTTTAAATTGGTTTTAAAAGATTTGTTAGAATTAGACCATGCTTCTTAGAATTTTAGTGAAGAAGTCAATAAATTTTGGAAGATATCATTCAGTCATATTCATCTCATAGCTATTCCATGTACAATAGAACAAAACACTGCCTGTTCTTGTGCCATCCTAATCTTAACTGTGTTTTAGTTCATATTTGTAGCCAATGTGTCAGCCCATAGCAATGATGGTCTTCCTCTTATTTGCTGACCCAAAATGATGCCTTTCTAAAGGACTAATCCCTCCTGATGACATATTCAAAGTATTTGAGATGAAGTGTCGCCATCCTAGCTTCTAAGGAACATTCTTACTGTACTTCTTCTCACACAGACTCGTTCCTTCTACTGACAGTTCATGGTCTACTCAGTATTCTTAGTCAACATCATAATTCAAAGACATCAATTATTTGATCTTATTGACTATTAAAAAGCGTGTCATTGTGTGGATAATAACAATTTTTTTAAAGCTTTTGTTGTGAATTGAGTGATAGTTTGCATGGAAAAATATCAATTTTACATTCATTCTATCGTATTTTGTTTCATTGCAATGATTGCAAATCCCTCCATGCATCATCATTCAACAGTACCTGCTTGTTTTTTTTTTGTATGTACACCAAAACATTCAGAAGTATACAGTCATCCAAACAATCAAAGGGCACACTCTGCAAGCCTGCCCCAGGCTACCATCACACAGCCCCTCACCTTCCCATTAGTCTAGAATCCTCAGCTGCCCCGCCTCTCCATGTCATCATCGCTGCCTTCATCCCTGGTGTTACTGCTTCTCTGGATAGGGTCCCACATTCTGTTTCTGCTCTTCTCCCTTGATGGTCCTAGGGTCCCCTGTTCCTGGAAAATGAGACTAGTTATTTCCCCATTTTTGCTACAAAACCTCTTTCTTTACAGTTGTGACATTTGCAATTAGTCAGGATCATAACAAATTTTGAAAAGCATTTCAAAGAATGGAAATTCCAGAATACTTAATTGTTACCACGTAGAACCTGTACATATATGAATAGTCAGCTATTCACACTAAATAAGAGGATACTGTATGGTTTAAAATCAGGAAAGGTGTGCCTCAGGGTTGACTTCTTTCACAATAACAAAACACCAGAACTAAACACTTCCCAACACTGGGCCAACCTCACTACTGTTGCCACACTCGAGTTCATTGATGCTGCCACCTGGACAATCCATCTCGTTGGAGATCTTCCTCTTTTTCTCTGACCCTTCACTTTACCAAACATGATATCCTTCTCCAGCGACTGCTCCCTCCTGACAATATGTCCGAAATATGAGAGACGAAATTTGGCCATCTTGGCCACTAAGGA